TTTTTTTTTTTTAATGTTTATTTATTTTTGAGAGAGACAGAGACAGAATGTGAGTGGGTTAGGGACAGAGACAGAGGGAGACACAGAATCCGAAGCAGGCTCCAGGCTCCGAGCTGTCAGCACAGAGCCTGATGCGGGGCTCGAACTCACGAGCTGTGAGATCATGACCTGAGCCGAAGTCGGACGCTCACCCAACTGAGATACCCAGGCGCCCCAAATCTGGCTCTTTCAAATGAATACAGTGTTCTTGATGAAAAACTCTTGATCTGATTGATCTTTCTCATTTGTTGGAGTCCAGAGAAAACTCCATCACGGACAGGAATTATTGTCTGAACCATCGGGAGCCTCAGTGTGGCCATCCATTAACTGGGGGTAAAGAGCCCTTGCCTCACAGACTCCTTGAGTGGGGTTAGAGGGAGAGGGAGATCAGCTCAGCCTGGTTTGCCAAGGGCTTCCCTAGTTTTAGTACAAAAGTCCTGTACCCCCGAGCACCTTCTTTCCCAGGACAGCCCAGATTGACTCTCACCATCATGATATTTGTTTTCTTTTGTTTTTAAAGTTTCTTTATTTATTTTGAGAGACAGAGAGAGCACGCATGGGAGGGGCAGAGAGAGGGAAAGAGAGAACCCCAAGCAGCCTCCACAGTCAGCGCAGAGCCCGACGTGGGGCTCGATCCCACGAACCGTGAGATCGTGACCTGAGCCAAAACCAAGAGTCGAGTCGGATGCTTAACCAACCGAGCCAGGGGCGCCGGGTGACTCGCCTTCTTATCCTGTGTCCCAGAATGCTCAGCACTGGGCAGCCACATGGCAAGCTCTCCGTACACATGGGATATGACTATCATTATTGTTTTATTAGATGTACTATCTCCAGGGCATGAGAGGCAGTCTCCTGCCAACTGTCAACAGAGGATGTAATTGCTAACTGTGATACTGTTTCCCTGGACCTCCCCAAACATTCTGACCTTGCCCTGTGGGCCGGCCAAACGCATTCATTTCTGCTGATACCGACGCTGGCCAATAGGTGGCAGGGACCTTTTGGTTTTGTCCCACGTAAATCCTGCTCTTTGCAAAATATGAAGGAAGAGCAGGAACGATTTCACGACACCTGTGTTATAACTGTGGCTGGGAAGCAATGTTACCTGAATCCAGATAGGCCCTGCAAAAGACGGGCGAATGCAGTATGCTTCTTTTAGTCCACTAGGCCCTGAATCCGCCAAGAGGCTACTCCAAACGCGCAATTATCAGGAAAATGGAACCCCAGCTCCACGGGACAAAAAGGTTCTCCTGCCCACTCACATCACACGTCTCCCAGCCCACAGGTTTTCTCGTAACCCTCGAACATGTTTTGAAAGTAGCCCCCAAACGAAGTCCGAACTGAACAACGAGAGCTTTACACGTTTGCAAACCCATTGGTGAATCGCTTTTCAATTCTGTGAAAAGCCGGATTCCGGTGGCGACGTAATCTGCAAAATCGGAATGATGTTACCACTGCCTTGCTGATTTGCTGCAGTGACTCAATGAGTTTACTACAAGTCAAGCCCTTTGAACAGTTTCTCAACACATGGTAATCACTCACCAGATCTGTTGCCGTTGTTGTTGTTGTTACTATTTTATCATTGCTATGGTTGTTAGAGTTGTCATTATGTTTATATACAGTAGGTTCAACTCCTGGTCATTCTTACTACCGGCAACATTTGTCTCTCAGCTGCCTCTCCCCCCTTTTTTGCAAACTAGGTATATACACTACTCAGTATATATCTCCAACAGCGGTTGATGAACTTTCCAGAAAGGGCCAGATAGTGAATATCTATCTTGGACTTTTCAGGCCATAGAGTCTCTTGCAACTGTACAACTCTGTCTTTGTAGCATGAAAGCAGCCACATGGAGACCAAACATGAATGAATGGGCGTGGCTGCCTTCCAGTAAAATTGTACTTATGGATACCAAAATTTGCATTTCATGTAATTTTCATGTATTGCAATCTGTGATTCTTCTTCCGATTTTTTTTTCCAGCCACTTACAAATTTTTTTAATGTTTATTTTACTTTTGAGAGAGAGAGAGAGAAACAGAGCAGGAGCAGGAGAGGGGCAGAGAGAGAGGGAGACACAGGATCTGAAGCCGGCTCTAGACTCCGAACTGTCAACACAAAGCCCGACAGGGGGCTCGAACTCACAAACTTCAAGATCATGACCTGAGCCGAAGTTGGATGCTTAACCGACTGAGCCACCCAGGGGCCCCTTTCCAGCCACTTATAAATGTAAAGCCCGTTCTTAGCGCACTGGCCACACTAAAAACAGGCGACAGGCTGGACTGGCCCCACAGCTGTTGTCGGCCAACCCCAGTCTTGAGGATTCAATATTATAAGCATTATGTCCCGTTTATAGATGGAAGTGACAGTCCATTACAACTACGTGCATCATGGATTTTATAAACAGGAAATGTTGCAAAATAACCTAACATCCTGTAGGTTTTAGCATCACTCAGCCTTATTACCCAGTATGATTAGAAAACATAAAATCCCCGGATTCTGTTACTACCAAACTCCCCCAAGAGAGCAGGTGGTCAGATCTATGGACCTTTTCTGGCCTCCAAAATTTCTAATGACTCAATGTGTCTATTCCCACGGCAGGGAACCTCATACCATGGGCCAGAAACCCATGGGAATCCTTGGAGATGCACTGGCTGTTTTCAACCAGAAATGAAAAGTCCCGGCTTTTATTCTGAAAGCCACCAAAAGCTGATGAGGCAGCTCATCCAACATACATTATTCTGCTTGTGAAAAAGAAACTTTTAGGTAGCAAGGCAGCAGGTGTTCGGAATGTCTGAAAGAGCCCTACTTCTGAGAGCAGGCATACTCCGGGTCAGACCCTCACTTGGCCGTATTCCGGATGCTGTCCTGGGTGAGTGGTGGAGAACTCATTCCCTCCTTTCGAAGGAGGGAGAAAATAATATGCGGAACATCCCAGTGGTTAGCAGCACGGGCGGCCTGTGTTTGAATCTTGCCCCTGCCATCATTAACTGGGTGACCTCTGGAAAGTAATGCAGTCTTCTTGTGACTCAGCCTCCTCATATCTAGAAGGAGGTGATGAGAACACCCACTTCACAGGGGTGCTGCAGGGTTCAATAGAATCAGACAGGGAGTGCACTTGGAACACAGTGCTGGGAACTGAGAACATGCTACATAATTGTTGACCTTTATCATTATTACTAAAACAAGGCTCAGTTAATGGTATGAGCGGCACCTGCCAGGTGAGAGGTAGCTATCAATGATTATTCCCTCCATCCAACCAGTAAGTAATAAATTAGCATCTGATCAATGCAAACACCATGGTGAAAGCAGAAGACACAACGACGGGGACGGGGGGTGGGGGGGGTGCCTGCGTGGCTCAGTCGGTTAAGCGTCCAACCTCGGCGTAGGTCATGATCTCGCGGTTCGTGGGTTCGAGCCCCGCGTCAGGCTCCGTGCTGACAGCTCAGAGCCTGGAGCCGGCGTCCGATTCTGTGTCTCCCTCTCTCTCAGAAATAAATAAATATTAAAAACAATTTTAAAGAAGAAGATACAACAATGGCTGAAGACCGATGGTCTCTGGCCTCATGACGCTTACAATTTGTTGGGGGAAGAGAGACAGAAGCTAAGTGTTCTGTTTTGCCCTCCCAGGCTGGACCAATTGTTACTGCATTCGAGAACCATCGTATGTAGCACGGCCACCTCCTGCCCCCCCACCCTGGCCCCTGTTGTATTACCAGTTTACTTTTATTCAAGGCATTGAACCCCACGTGTTTGGGTTGAAGAAGCACTGAGATATTACTTACGCTGATCCAGACAGTGTTCTAAACATTTCACAAGCATTAATCGTCAAGTCCTTGTAGCAGGTCTATGAGGCACAGAGAGCTAATTAACCCATGCAAGGACACACAGCGAGGAGAGGCAGGGAGAGGGTTCGAGGCCAGGTTGTCTTGCTTCGGGCTCCCGTGCCTAACCACTGTGCCATGCTGCCTTGAGCTATCGGAAATGGCCTGGCTTATGGATTTATTGTCTTTTTATTATCTACCCACAAGACTTTAGCTCCGTGAAGTCAGGGGGCCTAGTCTGTTTAATACACAGCCCTAGCCCTCATGACTGGCACAGCGTAAGGTGTAGAGTTAGTGCTCAGTACCTACTTGTTGAATCAACGAATGAATGAAAACACAGCCAAATAAATAATTACAAGTAGCACTAAGTGTTATGGAAAAAAAAAAAAAAAAGAAAACCCAAACACCACCAGTGCTATGAGAGGTTTTAGCAAAGGATCTAATTTCGTTTGAGGATCAGAGAATACTAAAAATTCTAAGTATTATTTTAATTATCCTCTTTCTAAAATCTCCTTGATGCAACAGCTGTGATGGGCTAAGAGGGAAGAAAATGTTATCTGGACTGAATACACTTTTCATGATGATAAACATCTCCTCTCAGCAATGAAATGCAGTTGAAAATTGGAGCTGCATTTGACTTAAATTCTGTTGAATATATAAGTCCCAAACCGCTTCTCACCCCTCAAAATAAATATAAGCAATTGACCTAACTTGGGCTTGTGTTGACACATCCAGAGTAACTTGTCAACTCTCTGCTACCTTAACTTTAGAGGTGGGAAGAAGGTTTTTGTTTGTCTTGGGTTTTAATTTCTCTCTCTCTCTCTCTCTCTCTCTTGCAGGAATAATGGGCAACCAAATGAGTGTCCCACAAAGAGTCGAAGACCAAGAGAATGAATCAGAGATAGACACTAACAAGGTAGGTAGCTATGCTCACCGGGTAATTTGCCACTAGCAGGTGGATTTGGGAACGATGGCAAAATGGCCTGTTCAGAGCTCATCACACAGACATTATTGATGAGGATGATGTGCTGATATTCCCATGGAACAGTTGTATTCAAGTGCAGTCGGAGTCAAACCTCCAGAATCCATCAAGGAGCTTGTTCAAGATGGCGGACTCCACCTAAGCCCCGCCTCCTCCCCCAGGCTTACTGAATCCAAGACTGCAAGGCCGGGAGTCTATGCAACCTGCATCTTTAAGGACCTCCAAGGTGCATCCCATGGGGCTCATTTTGTACCTACTCGCACTTGGTTCTCCACTGTGGGCGATTTTGCCTGCCCCTACCAGGGGACACTTGGCAATGTCTGGAGACATTTTTGATTGTTGCAACTCAGCGCTGCTGATCTAGTGGGTGGAGTCCAGAGATGCTGCTTCACGGTGCACAGGAAAGCCCGTGCAACAGAGAGCCACCTGGCCCCAAACATCACTGGTGCCTGTGATGGGGAACCCAGGGGAGGGTCGGCAGCGGGCCGGCTTGGCTGCACATGGGGATCATCTGAGGTATTAAAAGATTGTGATGCCGGAATAGCACCCTAGACCAATTGAATCAGAATCTGTGTGGGAGTGAGGGCAGGCAGCCACATTTTTAGAGCGTCTCAGCTGCTGCCAGTGTAGCCAAGGTGGGGAGCCGAGTTCAGGAACCCTTCCTTCAGGAGCCTGCTCTGGAGGGCTGAGGCCAGGGACTCCCAATCACTGCTCCTTGGATCTTCTACGACCCAGTCGCAGAAAGCCTACACTTCCACTATCCAGTGCTTCTGAATTCGATTCCACGTAAGACCTGGAGCCCGGTTAAACATGGACACCTCTGTAGGAGGCAGATAGTACCTACGAACTAATGTTGAGAATATCGTTGGAGAATCACTGCTCAGAAGAGGCTGGATTTGGAGAAATGGGCTAAAACTCCTGTGCCTGTGTACTGGGGGCCAAGCCTGCCTGTGTAGTATGTCATCTGGGAAAGTTTTGCTGTCTGGCCCCACCGACAGCAACCAAAACACAACATCTGGATTAGCCTCAGGCATCAGGAGTCTCTCAAGCTCCCAAGCGACTCCTAGTCTGGGAGCCTCTGGCTTCTAGGAGCTCAGCAGTGACAAAAGTCAGTGAAGGGGGCAGGCAGGGCCCCCGGAGGAACGGAGACCAAGGGTCTATTTGGAAATGGCTAGCTCTGGCCGACAGGTATCATCCAGATGTCCCCAGAGTCTGGTTTTTCATTCGTAGTTAGAAAACAGTGTGAAAGAAAGCTGATTTTTAAAGATTGGCAACTGATTCCCAAAGACTTGAAAACAAAAACTCTGTAAGTCAAATAAACCAAATCGACACATCCAGGATTACCCCTGGGGGATGCCAGTTATGAGCTCGGGGCCAGACTGTCACATGGGTTAGACGTTTCCTTGTTGTGATTTTTTTTTAATGTTTATTTATTTATTTGGAGAGAGAGAGAGAGAGATCGAGAACAAGGGGTGGGGGGAGGGGCAGAGAAGAGGGTCACCAATGATCCGGAGCAGGCTCCGCACTGTCACCACAGAGCCCGACACAGGGATTGAACTCACGAACCGTGAGATCACGGCCTGATCTGAAGTCGGACGCTTAACCGACTGAGCCACCCAGGGGCCCCTCTTCCTTGTGATTTCTTGGGAGGGTTGATGATCTGATTCAAGACCACAGGCTTATTTTAAACAATGAGACCATTTCAAACACATGAAGAAAGGGAAAAGCCTTCTGTGTCCGCCCCAGGAGGTTCCCACCTTCAGGAGCTGCCATTCAGTCTTCTGCTTTTCTTCTGTGCACTTACCAATCTATAGAATAGGCTTAGCAAAATCCCCTACCACGTGCAGAGTACTTAACGCATAATCAATATCCAATTAATGCCAACTATTAGTGGTATAATGTAGATGGTCTTATCACTAAAATAGCGCCAAGCAACTTACCTTCTCTCTCGTAACATTTTTCTTTCTGTCCGAGTATATTCGTATGTATGCACGCACACATATATACGTAAGCATAAAAGCTTTTAAAATATTTGCAATAAATAACAAGAGGAAAAACTGTCAGGGCAGTGGCCTGAAATTGGAAAGAGGTTCCAGTGAAGACGGAGGGAGTGGGTGTGGAACGGAACCGAAAGCAACGGAGAACTTCCTGTATTTGACAAGTTTGTTGACTAAAGGTCCGGCTGGGGACGGCGCCGTGTGTGCAGGAAAGCCGCACACAGTTAACCTCACAGGGTGAGGAATCGGTGTGTCAAGTTCTCATTCCCCACTGGTTGGATGAGTGGCCCCAGATAGCCTGGGCGTCCCGTTTGTACGTTGGGGTCCCTCCTGCCTGTGTCTGTGGGGCTCACCGAGATGAATGGGTTATGTAGCTTCTCGGAGGCAGGATGGGAAGCTGGGTAGTCTCTGGAAACACAGCCTTTAAATTAGGTTTAATTTGATGATGCGCCCTGTGGCCGTGAGTTTCTTCCTTGACTTCTGATTTTCCCCCAAAGACTTGACTCCTAATGCCAGAACCAATGTTCTGTTCCAGGCGGCGTCCGAGAGTAGATGCGCACAAAACGGGGTGCCGGTGATCATATCAACCCGCGACATTCCTTGCTATGATGAAGGTCAGTGCCATCTGGGAAGTGAGCCGCTCCCCTTGGGGTGGGGAGGGGTCTGCCCATCCTGTTTACGGTGAAAAGAAAATGCAAGGCTTGAAGCCACAGGCTGGCTTTGAAAACATTTGTATTCGTGTCCTGGGGCTGCCCTGACAGTGTCACAAACTGGGTGGCTTAAGCGACAGAAATGTGTTGTCTCACAGCACTGGAGGCCAGAAGTCTTTTCTTCCGATTGTATTCGCTTTTATTCAAAAGTAAAACCACAGAAACAAAAATGAACGTACAAACAATGAGACGGGGCGGGCAGAGCTGGGGGAACCGCCTAGGTAGGAGAGAACATGAACACAGTGATGGAGATCCCAGCTAGGGGACAGTCCTCCATACCGTGGACGATCCTCGTTACCACAGCATCACCACGTGGGCAGCGTGGAGCCTTCTGAGCACCAGCGAGGGACAATCTGTTCTCCGTCTCTGTCCTGTCTTCTGGCAGCCTCAGGCGTTCGGTGGCTTCTGGATGGTATTCTCTCTACGCATGCTTGTCTGCGTGTCCAGATTTCCCCTTTCATAAGGACACAGTCACATGGGATTGGTGTCCACCCTAATTGACCTCATCTTAACTTGGTCATTTGCAAAGACCCTGTTTCCAAATGGAGTCACAGGCACTGGGGGATACAGTTCAACTCTGAACAGCACCCACTCCTTCTGGTATTCACAACCACTGGAAGGGGCCAAGGATCTACAGCAGATGAGATAAAAGCCAGAGTGAAAATGATAAGAGGTGGGCATTTGGGTCAGACACACCTGGTTAAAATCGTTGCCGGTAACCGACTAGCTCTGTGACCTGAAGGAGTCATCTGACTTTTTTTTTTTTAATGTTTATTTATTTGTCGGGGGGGAGGGGTGCAGAGAGAGAGGGGGACAGAGGACCCGAAGCAGGTTCCGCGCTGACAGCAGAGAGCCCGACGCGGGGCTCGAACTCACAAACCTCGAGATCAGGACCTGAGCTGAAGTCGGACACTTAACCTCCTGAGCCATCCAGGCAACCCGAGTGATCTGACTTTCCAAACCCGGATTTTCTCACCTACCTCGCAAAATTCCTGAGAGCGTTAAAGGAGACCGTCCATAAAGTATTCACATATCACCCAGCACGTAGGAACTCCGCAGAAACTGGTAAAGGATACAGGCCACAGAATTTTCTCTACACAAGGGCAGTTTTAAAATGGGACAGTACACTTACCTGTGTTATTTTATCCTGCAATATAAGACTATAAATTCAGTGCATCAAAAGTGGCTGGGTTCCACTACGCAGAGAATATGTACATAACTACATGAGAAGAAGTGGCAAAGGGCAAGAACTCTGGAATCAAACTGTTGGCGTTGCCACCTACCAGCCGTGTGACCTTAAGCAAGCTACTCAACTTCTCTGGACCTCAGTCTCCACGTCTCTAAATTGGGAAAACAACAGTACCTACAACACAAGTGTCAGATTTAATAAAGCACATATTTCAGTCCTTGCCGCGTAGCAAGTGCTGTAAGTCTTAGCTGCCATCATTATTATTTTATGACGATGGTTGCGGTCATTTGCATGTAAGTTTCTGGGCTCCCGTTTCCTCTTCTGAACAATGAGGGAGTGTTTTATTACTGGTTCTGGGGGTTTTAGAATTTCCTAGGGTAAGGGGGAGAACTCCTTTCTTTATACTCTACTACTCACACCACATCTGACATCACAAGTGTGGGACTGCCCACTAAGCCGAGACAGCAGGTGGGTGTCCCTTACATCAGCGCAGTGCTCGCTCTGTCTACCTAAAGTTCACATCAGCCTCCGTGGGCGTAAGCCTCAGTCCCACCAGATTTCCGTTGCCGGTTGCAGGCAGGGGGCCCCCAGGCTACCCACGGGCTCCCGTCCTACTTGGCTACAAGTCAGAGATTCCCATGACCCCCCTCCTCACCTCCTCAGGTTCAGTTATCTGCTAGCATGGCTCACAGAACTCAGGGAAACAATTTACTTGCTAGGTTGCCAGTTTATTATACAAGGATTCAACTCAGGAGCGGCCAGATGGAAGGAACGCAGAGGGGAGGGTAGGAGGGCTCCGAGGGAGTAGGGAGTAGGAGGGGGAAACTTCCATGCCTTGTCTGGGCACACCACCCTCCCATGCCACCGCCCCCCCCCCCCCCATGTGTTCACCAGTCCAGTTCTCCCAACCCTGTGCTTCAGGGAGTTTTGTGCATGCCTTATTACTCAGGCATGATTGATTGAGCCATTGGCCATTGGTGATTGAGTTCGATAATCCAACCACTCCCCCCTCCCCAGAGAGGGGGGAAGGGGCTGAAAGTTCCAACCTTCCAATCACAAAGCTAGTTCCCATGGCAACCGGGGCCCCCATCCTTAGGGGCCTTCCAAAGTCACCTCATTAGCATAAATTCAGACGTGGTTAAAAGGGGCTGGGCTTGTGATGAATACCAAAAGACATCTCCATGGCTCTTATCTTTCATAAATTGTAGGAGTTCTGGGCCAGGAACGGGGTTGAAGACCAAATATGGATTTCTTATTCTATATTACCATATCATTCCCGAGGAGTTTCTTAAAAGCTTAGGGATGCCAGGTCTCCTCCAGTAGCCTCTGTCCACCATTAACCTAAGGCTGGGAGCTTTCGAGAGGATTCTGACACGCAGCCAGGATTGGCAACCACTGGCTGAGACAAGGTCCCAAGTTTCCTCCTGCCTTTAAACCTTGTGGGTCAAACTTACACTTTGATATACACAAAATGGATCGCACATACAGCCACAACCTCGGACGGGACTGGTATGCAAGCTGGCCACTGAGAGGCACGGGCTTTGAAGTGAGAACCGTACCATTTACATAATTTACAAACCGTAGATGTTTGTTCTTGAGAAACTGAGAGGCGTTGAGAATATAATGTGCCCCCCAGAAATCGCTTTCTCTATCATAACGATATTACCATTCTCCTGCTTTTAGTATAGGGCACAAGGTCAAGGCGTGTGTACGAAGAAGAACACAGTGTTTGGGAACTGAGGAAGTCCCCGCGCCCCCACCTTCCTCCCTTGGTCCCTCCCTCCCTCCTTGTCTACCTCTTTCCCTGCTTTCCTCCCCCGACAAATACATAGTCTTCCTACAAGGAAGAAAACAGGTAACAGAAATACAGGACAACAGTCTGGAAGAGCATATTGCTGTGACCTACACGTGACAAGGGACACAGAGAAAGAGAATGGCATTTTGGTGAGGCATGAGTTGGTTGTATTTAGCTCTATTACCCTGCAGCCTTCCTTTCAACTTATCTGGCACCCGCCAGAGAATCTGTAAAGAGTTTAGATTAATCCTCTGAGGTCAGAATTCTGCCTGTCATTCATTGACAACTTGAGCCCAGCGCAACTCGCTTTGGAGTGATTATCCCATTTAATGAGGAAGGCGGCCTGTTCCCGCCCTCTTGCTGTTTTCGCCAGGTTATTAACTGAGTTATAATTTTCAATGCAGTTTTTAAGGGGGTATAAAAGTAGGATTCCGGGGGACTTTTTTTTTTTTTTATCCTTTCGACAGAATTCTCTGACCATATCTTTTGAGACACCATCTGTTTTCATCTCTGGCGATGTGTACGTATACACATGCCCGTAGAGAAAAGTCACCAGAGAAACAGATAAATGGGATTCTGAGTGACTGTTTTCTTTCTTTTTATCTAGATTTCCCCCACTTTTTTCCTATTATGATGAAACAGTTCATCGCCATGCAGGAACGTTTCCTGTGAGGGCTTACTAAGAAGCAGGGGTGGGGGTGACTGGGCGCACAGTCTAGGAAGCCAGGGTGCTAAATTTGAATTGTGGCTCAGTTGCGTGAGCTTGGGCAAGTTTCTGAGCCTCTGTCCTTTCATCTGTAGAACTGGAACGATACTACTGGTAGAACCAAGCTTTTAAGGACCATTGTGAGGCTGAAATGGGTTGACAGGCATGAAATACTGAGCATCGCGCCTGGGATGTGGTGAACATGTGGGGAACGTGACTTGTTCTGGGTTGGAGTCAATGCTGATGCTCAAAGAGGTTGTCATTACAGTTGGAAGTCAACTGGATTATCTCCAGCGTAACTTTTATACCCGGGTGGGCCCAATGTCCTCTCGAGGGTCCTTATGAGGGGGAGGCAGGAGGGTCAAAGTGAGAGAGGGTGACAAGAGGGATGGAAACAGACACAGATTCTGGAAGATTCTGCAGTGCTGGCCTCGACGTGAAGAGAGGGGCCGTGAGCCAAGGAAAGCAGGGGGCCTCTCAAAGCTGCAAAGAGCAAGGAAGCAGATTCTCCCCTAGAGCATCCAGAAGCTGACCCATTTCCGACTTCTGACCTTCAGCATTGTAAGATAATATATCCGTGTTGTTTTAAGGCACAAAAATCGTGGTGGTTTGTTACAGCAGCAATAGAAAACTAATGTGAGTGCACTCACGCCTTATTTTTTTTTTAATGTTTTTATTTTTGAGAGTGAGCACCTGCACAAGTGGGGGAGGGGCAGAGAGAGAGAGACAGACAGACAGACAGACAGACAGAATCCAAAGCAGGCTCCAGGCTCTGAGTCGTCAAGCAGAGAGCCCCACACGGGGGCTGGAACCCACAAACCTGGTGATCATAACCTGAGCCGAAGTTGGACGTGTAATGGACTGAGCCACCCAGGCGTCCCCGCGCTCACAGTTTAGAGTCTAACAGACCTGAGCTAATGTCCTTGCTCTGCCACTCACTAGCTGTGCAACCTTGGCAAGGAATTTGCAATCTCAGAGAGTCATCTGTAAAATGGGAATAATGACAGTAACTTCGGAGAGAGCGAGAAGAACAGTGGCTGGCCCAGGGTAAATGTGAGGAAATACAGGAGACGGGAGAGGCTGATGAGCAGAGTCTATAGTCATGTGTGTGCCGTATGTCCCACTTCACCCATCATGTCACCCGACCAGATTTCCCCACCTGTATACTTATGCCTAAAACCTCACTGATCTTTGGGGAAATAAAAATGCCTCCTT